GCAACGGGACAGCAAGCGAGGCTGTTGTCCCCGCTCGCACTGTATATGACCCTGACTTTGTCCCCGAGAGCTGCAGGGTCGGATAAAGCGGAGTGTCGGATTACCGGGTGTCGGTTAATCTGGACTCCATTGTATATCATGTCCACCAATTTTCCCATATCCACAGAACCAGTTATCTCATCATAGAAGGCAATTAGGTTGGTCAGGCATGAATTGCCCTTGATGAATCCGTGTTGACTGTTCCTGATCACCTTTCTCTCCTCCAAGTGTTTCAAAATAGATTCCTTGAGGACCTGCTCCATGGTTTTTCCAGGGATTGAGATGATCATAATGTATAGACACAAGGGAGCCCAGTAAAGGTTGCAAATTAAATTCTGACAATTTTTGGATGTTTGGCTTGGCAGTCTTACTACAGGTGTGTGCGTGTGCACATGTATAATTTCCTAAGCTTTTTAAAAAAAGCAAATGGAACAACAGAAATTCCATCATGTAGCATTATATCAACACCCTTATGAGTCATCAGCAGGGTGAGAATATGTAGAACCATCAAATAAACCTCTTTCCCATCAGCTAACAGAGTGAGTAACAGGGACAATAACGTGTTTTATTCCTCTTCTTTGTCCCCTGTTTGGCCAAATTCAACAGATTTTCACAGGACAAGCACAAATCACATCCCTGGCATACAGGCCATCAAATTCCAATTCCTTTCTCTAAAGCATGGGGACCTTTGGCTTCTCAAAGAAAAGGTTAACAGTATTTTTTAACATGGGCTAAAAAAAAATTTCTAGCTCAATTCTCATAAACAACTGCACCATTTTGGCTGAAATTTTATAAATAAATACATTCATTCAGCCTGAGGCATTCACCTGGAATGGAAAGTTGTAAGTTCAAAGAAACTGAAGCCAGGTTGTTATAATCCAAAGTGTTTGACAAGCGTAAGAATAAGTGGAGTTAACAGCCATTCCTATAGCCAATGGATTTTGCAAACACTAAACTGATTTTCATTCTGACATATGTCTGTCCATCCATCCAGTCTTTCTAATTCATCTACAACTGCGACATCTTTAGTCAGTTGTATATAGTATTTATTGCCACCCACAATATAGTCCTCTGGCAAAACATCATCTGTTAAATATTATCCCTATTTAATTCATGAACTTTAACTAGGTCTACTCTTTTAGATAAACAATATTTAATTGCTTTGCTGATAGGCCTCCACTTCCGCTGCTGTGCTTTCATATTTTACTGAAATATCATTGAAATCAATTGACTATCAGAATATATCTGACTTGGAGGGTTAGCTATGTTAGGGTACATCTACACTAGTCCCCTAGTTCAAACTAGGGAAGCTAATGAGGGGAACCGAAATTGCTAATGAAGCACGGGATTTAAATATCCCACGCTTGATTAGCATATTCCCGGCCGGTCGCCATTTTGGAAACTGACTAGCTCGAAGTAGCTGCCCACGTCTACAAGCGTCAGAGAAGTGGAATTCCGAGATAAACCCCTTAGTTCGAATTAACTGTTACTCTTTGTGGAATGAGGTTTAACAGTTAATTCGAACTAAGGTGTTTATCTCGGAATCCCGCTTCTCTGCTGCGTACAGATGCAGGCAGTTACTTCGAGCTAGTCAGTTTCCAAAATGGTGACCGGCCGGGAATATGCTAATCAAGCGTGGGATATTTAAATCCCGTGCTTCATTAGCAATTTCGGTTCCCCTCATTAGCTTCCCTAGTTTGAACTAGGGGACTAGTGTAGATGTACCCTAACATAGCTAACCCTCCAAGTCAGATATATTCTGATAGTCAATTGATTTCAATGATATTTCAGTAAAATATGAAAGCACAGCAGCGGAAGTGGAGGCCTATCAGCAAAGCAATTAAATATTGTTTATCTAAAAGAGTAGACCTAGTTAAAGTTCATGAATTAAATAGGGATAATATTTAACAGATGATGTTTTGCCAGAGGACTATATTGTGGGTGGCAATAAATACTATATACAACTGACTAAAGATGTCGCAGTTGTAGATGAATTAGAAAGACTGGATGGATGGACAGACATATGTCAGAATGAAAATCAGTTTAGTGTTTGCAAAATCCATTGGCTATAGGAATGGCTGTTAACTCCACTTATTCTTACGCTTGTCAAACACTTTGGATTATAACAACCTGGCTTCAGTTTCTTTGAACTTACAACTTTCCATTCCAGGTGAATGCCTCAGGCTGAATGAATGTATTTATTTATAAAATTTCAGCCAAAATGGTGCAGTTGTTTATGAGAATTGAGCTCACAAATTTTCGTGGGTAAAACTCACTTTATCAGATGAATTGCAGCAGCGGTCTAGAAGTTAAAATTCTCCATGCACAGTTTTACTGGCATCTTTTAATTAGTCACTTTACATTTACATATGTCACATGGCAATACAGTATGGATGATTAAATGCTTTATTCTCTCATACACTCCATTACTTACCAGTAAAAAGAAATTGTCAAGCCAGGAGTAAACATCAAGTGGTTCAATGGATCCAAGCCAAGACTCTTCCTGTGCTGCTGTGAATCCAATGTTTTTAACTGCAGGATGTGACATTGCAAAAGGAACACTGATCCACTATAACCAAAGAGTGACATTTTATTGAATGTAAAAAGCTGTAGAAATATGAAATTATTGTATGAGAAATATATTCAGCATTTTCCTTCTTACTGTGCACTTCAGTTCAAATGCCAATTTTAAGCACAAGAGAACCACATTCGCTGCTGGTTTTACATGTGCTAGGGGAGTTTGGCATACAATGTAGATACACACACAAACCAAATGTATATAGATAAGAGGGAATTACGCTATAAATCAATGTTTCTCAAACTTTTGAAAGTTGTCTCTCCTTCTGGAAAATGAAACCGCCTGCATTCCCTGGTACTGGAGGAGGGACTTATAATTTGGCAAGGGAGGCAAGTGTTTGCCCCAGGGATGTGCCTTGTCCAATTCTATGAAATTCTGCTCAAATTTGGTCAAGTCTAAGCTTTAGAAAAATCACAATTTGCACATACATCTTCTTTGATTGTAGTAGCTAGAATCTCTGAAGATTCCATCCGCACTAGGCATGCTCCACCCCAGAACTGAGCAGGATTTTTCCTTCAATTGAAGCTCTGGGCTGCTGCAAGTTGCGCTGAGTCCAAGTCTGGGCACCTGAACTGGGAACAGGGAGCGTGTCTCTCTTATGCTTTCATTGGCCTCCACAGTTTAAAAGAGGAAGCTGCCTGATTTTACTGCAGAGGGAATTGACTGGACCTAGCGGGGAGTGGAAACTGAGGTGAAGGTTATCAGGATTGGAGAGGGAAACTGGGAGTGGGCAGAGCGGTTGTAGGGAGATTGGGAGGCAGGGACCAGGAACAGGGACAACCAAGAGTAGTACAGTATTATTGACTATACTGTCATACATACACACAAAGGGGCCAAATTAAGGCTTGTGGATTAAATTCATTTTAAATTCAGGCATTTCCTAAGAATTGAATGTTTGACTTTGCAACCCTAATAATGTTATTTGAATGCAACTATTGTTCATACAATATTGTATCACGTGCAATCATTAAAGGTCTGATTCTTTGCTGCATCCACTTTATATGGGACAGGAGAGAAGGGAGGTTGATCAGTAAATGCAGTAATGGATCCATGATTCTCTGCTCTAATCCCAAATCCTGGCATATTTTAAGGCAGTCTAGAGACTGCTCTGAACTGTGCCTGAAGTCTATGGTACCTTAGGTACCATATGCCAACTGGGGATTTCTGGAGCAGTTCCCCCTCTAGCTGCTCATCATCCTTACACTTCCTACTCCTCTGTGATGTAGGCTGCTGGGAGGGAGATGAAGACCAAGGGACTGGCTCCTGAAATGCTGTGCCTTTTGGGACTCTCCCGTACCAGGTATATCCTAGCTAAGGTGTTACAACAAGTGTTGTACTGCCTGAGTTGTACAAAGAGGTGGAATGAGCTAAAAAATACAGTCCCGTGTCCCTAGTTTCAAACTCCTGCTCAGCATCAGTGCATGGGCTCACTGGCACAAATGCAGTTCTGTGCTCACAGTGACCCCCCCAGGAAGCAAACTGGAGCAGTTCTGCTTTGCAGACTGGATCTGGAGGCTTTGCATGAGGAAGTGGGGACAGGTAGTGGATTGTCCTAGCCAGCTGACTCCTTCTTGTTGGAGAGGTGCTCCAGAGCGCACCTGCTTACTTTCACCCCAGGTTGTGTCCAAAGAACCACACTATTCAGCAGCATGGTGAGGGGAAGGAATTTTTTCTCTTCGCTGCCAGTGATCATACTCAGTTCCTAATCTCCAGTTTAGACTGGGGTCTGGGACTCTGGATTTCACCCATTTTCCAGACCAAGATTACACTTAGAAAAAAAAACCCAATGAAATATAAATGAGGAAACTCACCAGCCCCAGGAAGATGCAGAAAAGCTGAACCACATCAGTGTAGGCTACTGAGTATAGTCCACCCACCAAAGTGTACAGAATTGCAATCAGGGCAGAAACAATCACTGAAATGTTGACATCAATATCAATGATCACACTTATAGTGGCACCTGGAGGGGAAAACAAAATACTTTAGCTATTCTGCTCTCTCCAGTCTCCTTTCAGAAAGCTCAAATCAGTCTCAAGATATGTCATGATCTGCAAAATAAAACTGGACTTTTTCTTTTGCCTGTTTTTTCCCCTTAAAGATCCAGTTGATAAGTAAGGTGCAGTGTGGAGCTGCATATTCTGTCTCATCTCAGGAAGACAGAATGCTCAGTGGACCTCCTGATCATGCTAGGGTTATGGGCTTGCAGCTACACCTCTTTCCAGGTGACATCTGTATGCTCTGCTCTATGGGTCAGTGCATGGTTGCAGAGCAAGGATATAGCCTTGTCTCCTCCACACCTCATTTGCAGCACCAGATGCCTTTGAAGGAGTAGGGGTAGAGAAGTCTCTGTGCTCTGTTAATTGTAGCGACTGCCATCCTGCCTCTCTCTGACTCAGGCTGGATAGAGGAAGGAAGGAAGGAAGGCTCCTTCATACATCCTCTCATACTGTGCACACTTACAACAACCAGGAGACTATGCCTTTGATTTTTCACTCTGTCCAAACTGTGCTGACTTCCCTAATTCACAGCTGCCCAATTTTGGCTCCAATTAGGACTGCACAGGGATGAACCTCACTTACAACACTGAATGATGGAGTATAGTGGAGCTGTGCTTTTCCATGAGCCTTCCTGTCCTGCCTACAGCTCTTCCCCTTATGGCGGACAGCAGAGGAATGGCAGGGATAAGGGGGCAGAAGAGACACCTCCACTGGATTTACACCAGAGGTTAATTTCCCTGCCCAGGCAGAATGTTCCATCTACCTTCTTCAATTGCTTAAAGGCCACTTTGAACTGCCTTCACGGGGCAAAGTAGCCAGCCCCTTGCCTTTCCAGATGTTTTGCATGTGGCCATTACTCTAGAAATTCACTGCTTTTGTAGAACTGATTAAACGCACCTGATTCCTAGAGAACAAAACTTTAACATTCATTCAAACAGAAAATCTCAACAAAGCAGTTGCTGTTTTCCTTGGATGAAAAAAAGCCTCACAGCGTGCATCTTTTATCATTCATTTTAAAAAGCCTTCCCTCGCTCATTTCAGAATGTTGAATTTAAACTGTCACAATGATTTGCAGGTGTGGTATTTCCACAGCATGTAATCACTAAAGTCCTTGTGCACCCAGAGTTGGGAAAGACCTAGCAGTCTAGCTCCTACAGAAGCTGTGTTATTTTAGGATTTCAGGGGGCAAGTGGGAGGCATGCTGTTACTTCAACAGCTACCTTCAGAAAACCTCCAAGATTCATGGTTTGGGGGATGGGTCCACAGACCTTTTTTAGATAGCTGCAAACCCATCTCTTTCTCCCCATGAAGAGGAAATTCAAAGTCAAAACCTATGGAAGTTCTATTCCCCAGAGTGGATATGACATTCATAGGGGAGAATGGTCCAGTACATTTGGAAGCACAGAATGGTTGACTTTGTTCAAATAGTAGCTAAAATGGAAAACCCGTGCAATTTTATTGCCTTTAATTGCCACTTGTTAATATAACATGGTAGAAAGGCATTCACAATGCTTGCTTGCTGCTTGGAAATACCACATAAAGCCGTCTTAAAAATCAATTGATCTTCATTCAAAAAAGAACATTTTAAGTTCTCAGAAAGTTCTTCAAATCATTCACTTCCCATCAGCTCAGCAGGCAGTTTATTCTCAGATTCATAAGGGTCTTGTGATGAAATTATGGAGAATAAGTTCCCCAGTGCTTTGCAGTTAATCAGAGCACAGTTGGAAAGAAGCTTTACATTTTATATTTTGTTTTAAAAAAGATTGCCCTGTAAAGCCGTACTATGCATGTGGGTTACTTGATTCGCGTCATGACAACTAAAGGTGATTAAACTCGAGAGATGTTTCTATTTTTGAAAGGACAGCAAAATTCAAGTCTGTAATAGGGATGGGAGAATGGGGTGGTGATTTTCTTCAGACAAATATTAATCTTTCTTTCTGAGACATGTTTCCATTAGTTCTATGAGTCATTTTTGAAACCTAAGGATATTCTTTATTTTCCAAATACAGATGCATTCTGACGTTTAACAAGATTTCGCTTCTTTGATTAGTCCAGAGCATTGCTTGTGTTCTATGGGCCACTGAAATTGTTTTACAATTCTACAATGGTCGAATACTAGGGATTACACCATTTATATGCACTATCAAAAATTTTGCATAACTATCCTCTTTCTTTACCCTGGTATACGCTGGGGCTTCATTTTGAAATAACCCCCCTTAGGTCAGATTTATAAGTGGAGAGGCCACACTACAAAGCCTGTTATTTAGAAATAACAGGCCGCTTATTTTGAAATCTGTATTCCTGCTTTCCTCGGGGAATAATGCTAATTTTGAAATAGTTATTTTGAAATAGCGATAATGAGGATACTCCAGTGCTGCTATTTCAAAATGACAACAGATTGGTCCTTATTGATCTGGCATCCTCAGAACCTGATTGGTGCCCAGATGAGGGATAGATTGGTCCTTATTGATCCGGCATCCTCAGAACCTGATTGGTGCCCAGATGAGGGATTATGCCAGACCAGGGAAGATCATTTCTGGGACTCCCCAGCCATGGCCTCGCTGCCAGCCTCCCAGTTGACTTCCCTCCACCGCTGGCCCCGCCAGCTGCAAGACTCCTGACCCCACTTTGGCAGCCCTTCTGTGGCACACACAAATCCATTGCTGGGCTTCCAGCTCTGGGGGGCAGCCCCTCCTGCTGGGGTCCAGCTGTGCAACTGGGAGACAGCCCTGCTTGGGCTTCAGCCTCAGTCGGCAGCCCCTGCCTCCCAGCCTCACTGAGCAGCTTCGCAGGTGGCAGTGGGGCTGCCAGGCTCTTTGTGTGCTACTGAGCAACAGCCCCACTCCTGGATTCTGGCCTTGCTGCCCGGCAGCCCCGTGATCAGGCTGCCATCCCCGTGGGGCAGCCACACTGACTGCTAGTCCTGCCGGCAGTTGTGCCACTTGGCAATAGTGGGGCTGCCAGGCTCCTGGTTGTGCTGCTGAGTGGCCCCACTGCCTCTTAGTCTCGCTGGGCAGTTTTGCTGCTGGACTCCAGCTCCACTGCCTCCTGCTCCCCCAGCCCTTGCAGTGTCACCACCGAGGGGCAGCCCTACTGCTGGGCTCCTGTTTTGCTGCCACAGGGCAGCTCCACTACTAGGCTCTAGCTCTGCTGTAGGTGCCCAGCCACCAACCCTCCACTGGGAATCTCTGGTCCTGGGACATCCATAGTCTTACTGGACCAGGTATGTTGCCGGACCAGTGCCCAGCCACCAACCCTCCACTGGGAATCTCTGGTCCTGGGACATCCGTAGTCCTACTGGACCAGGTATGTTGCCGGACCAGAGGGTCTCTGTTAAGCGAGTTTCTTCCTGTGCTCCCCAGAGTAATTTGAACTATTTACTCCCCAGTGCTGGTTAAGCGAGTTTCTTCTTGTATTCCCCAGAGTAATTTGAACTATTTACTCCCCAGTGCTTTCTGGGGCTCTAAGTCGATGTAGCACATCCACAATAATGGAGCCTGCCTTGGACTCATTTCAGGCTTCCCCATAGTGTGGACATGCTATTTTGATTTTGTTATTTTGGGAGTTATTAAATCAATTTTAGTTGCTTTGAAATAGTTTCCTAGTGTAGACGTGCCCTTTGAGAGCTATTACTCTCTGTGATCCTGAGGGTGTCAAAAAAATTGTGATACACTTAACAGAGAGGAATATGTTTTCAATTAGAATGGAATTACTCAGATCCTACTGTAGCTAAAGAAAGCTGTGTTGCCAAAGCTTTTCAGTACTGCTTGTAAAACACACCCTTCACATGTAACTAAAAATATATATATATAAAAAATCTTTGCATTCTTTTAAAGTGTACTGAGATAGTCAAGGTTCTGATAATCAGGAACCTTTAGACCAAGAAAACTATCCTTTTAAAAAAGTTTGGACAGGGTAGTTAGCAATTTAAATAGTCCCTGGATTTAGGAATTGATTTTGAAGTGGTGCTCCTTAATGCGTTTCTGATTTTTTTTAAACTCCCTTTGGTCAGTGAACTAATGTTATTCCTGCGGATCTCTTACCTAATGCAGAGAAGATGGCTGCAGCCCAAAACATTTCTCCCATAAGAGCAGGTATAAATAGCAGCCCTCCCATTCTTTTTCCATAAAGCTGTTGAAATGGGTCTAACATTGTCACATAGCCTTTGGAACGCATGGGTTTTGCAAAAAATAGACCACCTGAAAAGTGAAACAACAAATTTGCCAGCGTTAGTGGAGAAAAGTGTTTACAGTGAGTCAAATATTGTTAGTTTTCACAGGTGTAAAAGTGTCTGCTTGACTGTATTTTTACAGAAATGTAAAATAAAATTAAAATAGTCTTGAAACAGAAAAGGAAGGGTTTTTTTAATGTAAAGAAAGCAGCAGTTCAAAGACAAGATCAATGAAAACCATTTATCACTTCCTACCCTATGTACACACATGGGCTACTTCTAGACTGCAAGCCTCTTTCGAAAAAAAGCGTCTAGACTACAACCAGTACTTTCGAAAAAGCAAGCTGCTTTTTTGAAAGAGAGCACCCAGGCAGTCTGGATGCTCTCTTTTGAAAAAGCACAATTTGCGTTACATAGCGCCTTGTTTCGAAAGAGCACTTTCGAAAAAAGGCATTCTTCCTCGTAAAATGGGGTTTTCTGTGGTCGAAAAAACTGTTGCATTCTTTTGATTTATTTTCGATAGAACACAGCAGCAGTCTAGATGCAGGGGAAGTTTTTTCAAAAAAAAGGCCACTTTTTTCAAAAAAATCCTGTAGTCTAGACATACCCATAGTGACAACATACATGTTCTGGTTCTGAAAAAAAAAATGTGAATGTGTAAAGCCCTGTGATTTAATGCATCCAGCTTGCTGTGAGTAATGCACAGTTGTTTTCATTTAATGTAAAGGCATTTATCTTGAGATTCACATATTGGAACAGCACTGTAGATTTTTTTCCCCTCAAATTTCATTTAGTAATGCAGTTACCCAATGTACCACTTCACCAGAAACAGATATTGGTACTCCAATGACTGTGGGCCTATGTTATTCCAGATTTACGCCTAGATTGCCCTAATAAAAGTCAATGGAGTTCCACCAGCATAAATTTGGTGTAATGTTGTGGAGACTCAGGACCTGTATAACTAAGAGTCCAATTTGCCCCCTTCACAGTCTATTGCAAAATAGCCATTGTCTGTAATGGCTGTAGGATTGGTTGCTTGGTCAGATACTTCCTACTTGCACCATATAAGATGCACCATGTACAGAAGATTTCACATATTTCTTCAAATTTCTCTACAATTGAGTCCCTGCTTGTACTTTATAAGGGTTCCAGAATAGCTTACTAATCATGAGCAAATGATATACTTTCCTGTTACACCGTAGTTAGTTTAGGCTGAAAGCTACAGACAGCCTTTCTGCCATTCTTGTACTGTTCATGAATCCCATATCTATTGTACTTCTCTTAACACATCACTGCTTTTTTAGGGTGGCGTAAGGGGATTTGAGAGTGGAACAAGGGGACTAATAAGATGACAGGTATCAGAAATGTCTCAGAGGGGTTGCCATGTTAGTCTGTAACTTTGAAAACAAGAAGTAATCCTATAGCACCCTAGAGACTAACATATATATATATATAGTATCATGAGCTTTCATGGGTAAAACCCATGAAAAAAGTACGATATTGTCAATTCTTTATACCTTACATACCAGCAGCCATGCAGCGTAAGCCTCCTAATTATGTTATATCACTGGCTTTCATTCTGCATTGGAAGGGAAGGATGATCCTGCACTTAGGAGACTAGCCTAGGAGCAGGGGCGGATGAGGATTTTGCAGGGCCCAAAGTAGCACAATTTCGCGGGGCACTTCCTTTGACACGGTGCATGCACCATGGCACCACGGTGCATGTGCAGGGCTTCTTGAAGCATGGTGCCCGGGGTGGCCGCCCCGCTTGCCCTGTCTTATATCTGCCCCTGCCTAGCAGTTAGGAACCCTCAGTTCAATTCCTTGCTCTGCTACAGCCTTCTTGTATGACCTTGGGCCATATATAATAGCATTCATAGACAGATTTGAAGAAAAAAACGCTTTATATTACTGTAATAGTCCTCTAATGCAGTGTTTCTCAACCACTAGAATGAGTACCCTTAGGTACTCGAGAGAAATGTGGGGGGTACGTCAACACAACTGAAATTTGGAGAAAACTGAATTTTTGTTTAAAGTTTTACAGTGCTTTATTATTTTTGTACTTTTTACACCCAAAAAATTGATCGCCAGCCTGGCTATGATTAAGTTGTTTAAACAAATGTATTACAATGGTAGAAAAAAAATGTGTATGTCTGAAAACTGTAGGTACTGGGGGTACTTATACTTTTTTTTTTTCTAAAAAAGGGGTACTTTATAAAAAAAGATTGAGAAACTCTGCTCTAATGTGTTCAAAAGGATTAACCTGTGGATGTTCAAGGAATTCTTAATGATTTAAGATCTCAAATTATTTCCAATAATTAGTAATATATTAGTTTCCTTTCTAAAGTCCTTATTGAAAGCCCATGAAGGTCAATGGAAAGACTCTCATTAATTTTAATGGTGCTTGCACCAGGCCTAACTATGGGATTCCAATAACAATTTTAACGTCAGCATATTTTTAAAAACAGAGAGTCTAATTTATTTTTGCTTACCTAAAACCAGACTAAGGGAGTATCCAATAGGTGCTTGAGCCCAAGCCAGCCCATAGCCTGGAACATATACAGCTTCTGCTGTCCCATTGATGTAGCCGCCTCCAACCCAGGTGGCTGAAGATGAAGAAGAGGAGGAAGAATGGAAAACGTAAATCTTATTTTGATGGTCAACATGTATCTCAACTTCTAATGTACAACTAAAAGCAGAACTCAACTCAGAAAATTCTTAACTTTTACATTTAACAAGAGTTTAACCAATGGAGATCCTGAAAATGTGGCTTGAATTTCACTCTCCCGCTACATTAAAAAATCTCTTGATCTAGCCAATTTTCAGTTACATAAATGCCATTAAAATTAGAGCTTTGGTGGGCATGTCATCTACCAAAGTTTTTGACTTTGCCACATGTATGTAAGATTCTTAAAGATATATTCATGAGCTATTGTAAAAGTAGAGGTCCTGCTTTCATTCAAATAAAAACTGCAACATTGGTCATATTCCCAACCATTGGAAGATAATACACTCATTCTGTCTCTAATGGCAGATTGCCAAACCTCGGAGGCTGAGGATCTAGATTAAGTCTGCAGATCTCTCTCACACAGAAGTGTATTGTAATTACATCTGGGCAAATAATTCATAGAAAATAATTGCAGTGAATTTGAGTTCTTTTCCTGTTTGCAGATTATCTGCAAATAGATCCTGATTTTGGTTAATATATTTGTCAGCTACATGTATTGCTGAATGATATTCATGAATTAATGCTTGGATCTGTAATTTGTTTATCAGCAGTTCATTACAATTATTAGATTTTTGAAATGCAAAACCTAAGCTGTTTTGATTGGACACAGAGATCACAAGATGTTGGTTTTATTTCGTAATTAGATCAAGAGGAATATAACTCTTAGAATCATACTTCCAGTGTAAAAACTTGTGATTCTAAATTAGAAATTCACTTTCTATGAGTAGTCTACTCCCAGTAGCCACTATTTCTACAAACATTTATTTCAATAGACTAATTGGTAGGAATATTTGAAGACAGCAAAGACACCACAAAAGAAACACATTTATTTAAATTTTTGAATTATTTTTATGGAAGATTGTTTACAGTATTCTCCCCATACTTTCTGTAATAATATCACTCGGTCACTGAGCATGTACAGAAAGTTTTTTTTTAATTTGAAGCTAAATTGTGTACCTTTCTATAGGCTAAGGAACAAAGCTAATAGTGAGGTTCCAACTGCAAAGAGAAATAAGGATTATTTTTCTCCTCTGCATTCAGAATCATAGCCCTGGTCCAGTGTGCATCTGCAAATCTTTGCAGGAGATGTTTTTGGGACAGCAGCAGGGTCTGCTCCTGGTAGTAGTGGTCAAATCCTTCTGTCTGTAATTCCGCTTTTACAGTGTGCATTTTGATAGCTTGCTAAGATTTGTTGCAGAATACACAGACATTGCCTCTGATAATTATGCATGCCCAAATATCAAAAGACAGAAGAGCACTCATCCCATTGCTGATATCTAGCACAAGGACCTAATATTACAGAATCATTGACACACTGATCATACTATAGGCTTTTTATCCACTGACAGGGATGGATGGAAAGGCTAGTGAAAACATAGTGCTGTCTAGTTTGGCTCTCCAGTGTCCAGACATGGCTGTGATATATATTGCTAGCTGTATGTGTAGTTATGGGATTGAACTGTCTAGATACCACAACAGTAATACCTACACTGAAAAGGTTTAGGTGGAGGGATGGCTGTTTTACCTTCTTCCCTAAGGAAGGTATGGACATGAAATCTGTATCATGGTGTCCAGTTTTCAAAGGTCTAAGTCTGGAATAACTTGTTGGCTGAGTCAGATCAATTGCACGAAGTATTGGTTGCATTTGGGATAGGGAATAACAGGTCCGGACCCCTTTACTTTTTCATTCCAACCTACTCACTTTTTTTCCTATGCTGATTAGGCTTTTTATACCTGCTAAAAACCATGTAGGAGGATGTATATTAGGGTTTTAAATGCATTGAAGGGAATATTTTCCAACATAGCCTTTCTGATATTTTTCCAACATAGCCTTCCTTAGTACCAGACTGAACTTTTTGGCTACGTCTACACTGGCATGATTTTCCGGAAATGCTTTTAACGGAAAAGTTTTCTGTTAAAAGCATTTTCGGACAAGCACGTCTAGATTGGCAGGATGCTTTTCCAGAAAAGCGTCCGTGGCCAATCTAGACGCGCTTTTCCGCAAAAAAGCCCTGATCATCATTTTCGCGATCGGGGCTTTTTTGTGGAAAACACTACTGTGCTGTCTACACTGGCCCTTTTCTGGAACAGTTTTCTGGAAAAAGACTTTTGCCCGAATGGGAGCAGCATAGTTTTTCTGGAAAAGCACTGATGATTTTACATTAGATCGTCAATGCTTTTCCGGAAATTCAAGCGGCCAGTGTAGACAGCTGGCAAGTTTTTCCGGAAAAGCGGCTGATTTTCCGGAATAACTTGCCAGTGTAGATACAGCCTTAGGGTATGTTTACACTGCAAAGTTAATTCGAAATAACAGCCGTTATTTCGAATTAACTTTAATAGCATCTATACATGCAAACCGCTATTTTGAAATTCATTCGAAATAGCGGAGCGCTTAATTTGAATTTGGTAAACCTCATTCTACGAGGAGTAATGCCAAATTTGAAATAGCTATTTTGAATTAAGTGCTTCGAATTCACTTAATTCGACATAGGGGGCCTCTAGCCTTCCCAGAGTGTCCTGGTGGCACAACCAGGAACACTTCCTCTCCTCTCCCCCCAGCCCCAGAGCCATTAAAGGGGTAGACTCTGGCCACAGTGCCTGTGCCAACTCCAAGCCTGCCAGCCCAGAGCCAGCAATGGCCACCAGGGCCCCTGACCCAGTGGTCCCAAAACATGAGCCAGCAAGCCACTGGCAGCCAGCTCTCCACCGCTCCCCAGGAGCAGTCTGCCAGCTCCTAGGAGCCTGCCAGGGGCTGGAGAAGGCAGGAACCTTCCTGGTCCAGGGTGGAGATCATGGACCTTATTCAGGTTTGGGGGGATGCCCCCAACGTCGATGATCTCTGCACTAGATGGAGGAACGTGGCCATCTATAGCTGCCACCCTGAGCACCAAAGGCCACATGTTAACCCAGGAGCAAGTTTGCATGAAAATCAAGTTGGTGTGGTGAGACCCCTACCCCTGAGCTTCCCCTCCCACTTCTTCCCCTTGCTTCCCCCTTCCAGCTCCCTCCTCCCAGGTTTCCCCCTCCCCTCTCCCACCCTCTCTCTTGCCCTCTCCCACCTCCTTTTCCCAGTCTCCCCAGAGGATCATCCCCCCCCCCCAGTATTGTTCAATAAACCCAGTTTGTATTTTTGAACATGTGTGTCTTTTATTTGACATCAGGCAGAGGAGCTAGGGAGGAGTAAGTGGAAGGATGTGAGGGAGGAATGGGGCACGAGCCCCCAGTGGGTGAGTGAACACTCTCCTGCAGGGTCTCCTGGATCCCCCGGATAGCAGCCTGCAGCAAGTGCAGCTGGGCTGATGGCAACGACCCCATGAGACGTACCGGCGTGCCCAGGGGCAGCTCTGGCTCCATGTGGCCAAGTGTTGTGGTGTTCCGAGTGTGGGCACTCAGGGCACTCCAAGACAGGACTGCTTTGCTGTCCCTCATCGAGGTAGACAAGCAAGTGGGTAACCCTGAGAACTATCTGTCCGGGGTGGGGGTCCCTTTAAGCACAGAGCTCAGTTAGCCTCCGGCAGCAGCCCCACACACTAAGTCTTAACCTGATGCCCTGCCGGCACTGGTTCTGGCCAGCCTTAGCTTCAGGGTCCACTCAGTGTGAATGCGCTATTTCGAAATAGCAAAATGCTATTTCAAAATAGCTTTTGTATGTAGATGCATTAATTTTAATTGGCTTAATTCAAATTAACTATTTTGAATTATGTTAATTCGAAATAGTGCTGTAGTGTAGACATACCCTTATTTTTTTATTTTATCAGATCCTAAATGAATAAGACTTAAAACTTTGGAGGTGCTGGTTCTAATATATTTACCATATTTCTAATGAAATAATTTCTCATTTTAGGAAAGAACTGCTGGGCTTCCCCTCATGGTCATTTCACTTTCCTTCCCTCTCAGAACTGCTCACACAGTAATATTCATGTATCTGTACATGGCTGCAGATATAACATTTCATTGTATTGTTCTTTATGATATTTAGAATGTTCTGACAATGGCCCATAGTATTATATCAGAGGATGTCTTAATAGACCTTTTCCTGAACCAGTTCATGAGGGTGATGTTGGCTTTCAGCACCTCTCTGCATGAACAGGGAATTCTGTTCTCCAAAAACAGAAGATCTCTGAGATCTGTGCAGACCTTGGGAAATCTGTGTTATAACCAATCAGGATATTATCTCTCCTTGCCCTAGCTATGGACAAGGAAGATTCTTTGGCTGGAGCAAGATCAGTATGTATGGGTATGTCTACACTACAAAGTTAATTCGAACTAACAGTCGTTAGTTTGAATTAACTTTCATAGCGTCTATACATGCAAACCGCTAGTTCAAACTTAATTCGAACTAGCAGAGCGCTTAATTCGAACTAGATAAACCACATTCTATGAGGACTAATGCCTAGTTTGAATTAAGTAGTTTGAATTAAGGGCTGTGTAGCCACTTAATTCGAACTAGTGGGAGGCTAGCCCTTCCCAGGTTACCCTGATGGCCACTCTGGGCACAACCAGGGAAACTCGTCTGCCTCCCTCCTGGCCCCGGAGCCCTTAAAGGGCCACGGTCTGGCAACGGTGCTGGTGCCAGTTGCAAGCCTGCCAGCACCCAACCAGCAGACCCTGCACCTGGCATGGCATGAGCCAGCGACCCGCTGCCACTCAGCCCTCTTCCTCTTCCCAGGACCAGGCTGCTGGCTCCCAGAATTAAGTTAGTTCGAATTAGTGCTGTAGTGTAGACATACCCTGAGAGAGAAGGTCTGCTGATAGGACATTCTCCATAGCAGCATTATGACTTTCCATTCTTATCACAAATAGCTCAGATTGACTAATCTTCACTGGATGTTGCAGAGCTAACCTATTTTCACAGGCTTTCGAGAGGAAGAGATGCACCAAGAGCTGATATTTGAGGAGAGAATGGAATATTGTTCAGTATTAATGTCTTGGCTGGTCAGTTTCTGGATCTGAGGGGTGAAGAGGAGTGGCTCCTAACTACATTTTTACTTGCAAGACTATCTTTTAAATATCTGTTGAAAGAACCTAGAGCATTGAGCATTTATGTTATTTTAATGTAGTTATTGTGCAATCCTCTTTTTTAAAACAAGCCAATCAAAGGGAATAAAAAACGAATAATCTATAGAATCTTTCACATATGGGAAATTATTTCAATCTTTTATCTGCTTACCCTTTGGATGGGACACATAGAACACCAATTTTCCATTTTAAATGTACACTGGGAGAAAAGTTAGAGATTATGCACATTAGTGATGCAGAGTCAAATTCTGCTCTTAGGTCAGATGAGAAACAGACACTCACTTTAAGTGATCTTTCTCTACAACAGCACATATCAAATATTGGATTTTTCAAGTCATTACGCAGATAAAAAACCAGCTGGCATTTCTTTATAAAATGGTCTGCTGACTGAGCACTCAAATTATTATCAAGATAATGAGATTTTGTAAAACAAAGCTACTGATCACACAAGCATCATATTGATAATTTTTCATTGTGTAAGAAAATGTAGCACTCTCTTTACTAAAATAAAGAACAGTGTTCAAGGATCATGGCTCCATTTGGAGAATTATTGTTAGGCTGTGGCAGCATTTTGATTAAACAACTCCAAGTGTTTCCCCCAGGGTTTAATCACAACCATAAACATTTATGGTGGGTTAATTTTGCCACAGATCTCATCTCTGAGGTAATTTAAAAAAACTAAATAACATGCTAATAATTGGCTTATATTTAAATGTATGCATGTAAAATGATATACAGGCAGTCCCCGGGTTACGTACAAGATAGGGACTGTAGGTTTGTTCTTAAGTTGAATCTGTATGTAAGTCGGAACTGGCGTCCAGATTCAGACACTGCTGAAACTGACCGCCAGTTCTGACTTACATACAGAATCAACTTAAGAACCCCAGGCGTCCCCAAGTCAGCTGCTGCTGAAACTGATCAGCAGCTGATTCCAGGAAGCCCAGGGCAGAGCAACTCTGCCTGGGGCTTCCTGTAGTCAGCGCTGGTCAGTTTCAGCAGAAGCTGACTTGGG